AGTCAGGCTCTTTCTACTCCACAGCATGGCTTTTGGTAACATGCCATGATGCTCGGTTTCATGAAATATTACAAGTATCACTATTGTTTTGGTTTGTTAAAACAATGATAATTAATTTTTTTTTTTGAGATGGAGTTTCATTCTGTTGCCCAGGCTGTAGTGCAGTGACATGATCTTGACTCTCTGCAACCTCCGCCTCCCAGATTCAAGTGATTCTCCTGCCTCAGTCTCCTGAGTAGCTGAGACTACAGGCACCTACTACCATTTCTGGCTAATTTTTTGTAGTTTTAGTAGAGACGGGGTTTCACCATATTGGCCAGGCTGGTCTCAAACTCCTAACTTTGTTTTCCACCTACCTCGGCTTCCCAAAGTGCTAAGACTATCGGCATGAGCCACTGCCTGTGGCCCTAAAATTTCTGATGGCCTGCATGTATTATTTATAGTATGTTAGGCAATGTTCTAGAAGAGTTAGATGTGTTAATTCCCTTAATCCTCATAACAACCCTAGAAGGTAAGTACTATTATTATTATTTTGAGATGGAGTCTTGCACTGTCACCTGGGCTGGAGGGCAGTGGCGCAAACTCCACTCACTGCAACTTCTGCCTCCCGAGTTCAAGCAGTTCTCCTGCCTCAGCCTCCCGAGTAGCTGGGATTACAGGTACCCACCACCACAGCTAGCTAATTTTTTGTACTTTTTTTTTTTTACGTAGAGACTGGGTTTTACTATGTTGGCCAGGGTGGTCTCAAACTCTTGACCTCATGATCCACCTGCCTCGGCCTCCCAAAGTGCTGGATTATAGGAGTGAGCCACTGGGGGTGCCCAGCTGCTAAGTACTACTATTATTCTTATTTTACAGGTTTGGAAATTGAGATGTTGAATGATTAAATAACTTGCTTGCCACTCAGATAAAAGTGGTAGAGCTGATATCTAACCAGATTAATTGGTTTTTTAATCCACAGTCTTATAAAATAGACTTAAATACTGATGTTTTCCCTCCTAAATGGAACTTTGTACATGATCACTATCTACACAATTGGTTTCAATTTTTGTTGTTGTCGTTGTTTGTTTTTGTTAGAGATAGAGTTTCACTCTGTTGCCCTGGCTGGCATACAGTGGTACAATCATAACTCACTGCAGCCTTGAACTCCAGGGCTCAAGGAATCCTTCTACCTCAGCCTGCTGAGTAGGCGGGACTACAGGTCCATGCCCAGCTAAGTTTTAAATTGCTTTTTTTGGAGATGGGGTCTCACTACGCTGCCCAGACTGGTCTGGAACTCCTGGCCTCAAGTGATCCTTCAGACTTGGCCTCCCAAACTACTGGGGTTACAAACGTGACCCATTGCACCCAGTCCTTCAGTTTTGATTCAATGCATATTATAGAACCTAGGTTTGGCTCTGAATCTCCACTAATAGCCTCAACTCTAATTACAGAGCACACAAAAGAATGGAGTTGATACAGATTACTGAACACATTGGGTTTCATGTGGATAGTTATGAAACAAGCAGGGTTTTTATTTTCGGACTTTTTTCTCCTCCTACCCTTCAAATAAACAAACTAGCAATTGAGGGGGAAAAAAAGCCAATAACCTGTTTCTGATTTGTTTGGGACTGCATCCAAGGTTTTTGGAATTTTTCAGAGTTGCATTTTCAGTGTTCAAAGCAGGAATTCACTTTTGAAATAACTTTGAGATGAAAAAATGAAATTGTCACCTATATTGTGTCAAACTGCAATTTTAATGATTTTTTGCATGTAATAAAAATAGAAATATTACAGTTCACATTATAAAGATCACTTTGAGTGTAAAACCTAAATAAAACTGCATGAATAGGAACAAATAGAAATATTTTATACCTTCTGATCATACATTATTGTAAGAATTTAGATTATTTTGAAAATTAAGAAGGCAGTATTTAACAACTACAAGAACCATAAAATATAGCTGAGAATGTGTCAGAGAAGAAAAGCTCCTAATTTCTAATATAGTAGAATAAAAGCTGTAGTCACCATTCAAGTTATTTAAATACTATTGTAGTTTAATGATAAAGAAGAAAGTGCAATTTGTGCTACTGAGATTTTTGGAGTCTCCAAAATCTCCAAATGTAGATTCTGGACATCCTTACCTATGCTCTTATAATACTGAACTCCTCATTGTTGATTGTTTCTCTAAAATGCATCATGAATGTGTATAAAATGTATTTTTAAATTTTTATTTTTTCAAACCTTTATTTTATGTTCAAGGGTACATGTGCAGGTTTGTTATATAGGTAACTGATGTTGTGGGATGTGTCATACAGATTATTTTTTCCCCCAGGTGCTAAGTCTAGTACCCAATAGGATGTTTGATTTTGATTGTTTTGTTTGTTGTTTTTTTGTTTTTTTTTTTTTGAGACTGAGTCTTGCTCTGTTACCAGGCTTGAGTGCAGTGGTGCCATCTTGGCTCACTGCAACCTCCACCTCCCAGCTTCAAGTGATTCTCCTGCCTCAGCCTCTTGAGTAGCTAAGACTACAGGTGTACGCCACCACATCCAGCTAATTTTTATATTTTTAGTAGAGATAGGGTTTCACCATGTTGACCAGGATGGTCTTGATCTCTTGACCTCATGTTTCACCCACCTCGGCTCCCAAAGAGCTGGGATTACAGGCGGGAGCCACCATGCCCAGTCCCAATAGGGTATTTTAAAATTAAAAATGTTTTATTAAGTTTTGTTTTTAATTGACACAATAATTGTACATTTACGGGGTACAGTGTGATGTTTTGATACATATATACATTGTATGATGGTTAGATTAGATAATTGACATATTTATCACCTCAAACACTTGTCATTTCTTTGCAGTGAGAATGTTATATTAAGTTTTTATTCCTGGATATTTAGGCCAGTGAGCTGGGTCTTTATTCTCCAGACTTAGTAAAATTGACTTCTTTCTACCATCTCTGCAGAATTTCTTAGCCTGCCTGTCTCCTTGCCTTCACTCTGCGCTTTATCTTTTCCCTCCTATTTACTCATTCATTTGATTTCACTTCAGTTCCCACACTGTGACTTTACTTCTTTCAAAACTGAATGAAGTTTTCCCAACCTTTTAACAATTCTTTAACAATTTTTAATTAATTATTTATTTTTGAGACAAGCTGTCACTCTGTTGCCCAGACTGTTGCAGTGGTGTGATTACAGCTCACAGCAAACTTGACTTCCCAGGCTCAGGTGATCTTCCCACCTCTGCCTCCTGAGTAGCTGGGAGTACAGGCATGCACCTCCATGCCTGGCTAATTGTTGTGTTTTTTGTAGAGACAGGGTCTCACTATGTTGCCAAGGCTGGTCTTGAACTCTTGGGCTCAAGTGATCACCCACCTTAGCTTCCCAATGGGCTGGGATTACAGGTGTAAGTCACCATGCCTGGCTAGCTTCCCCCATCCAACATGTCTTATTTCCTTTCTTTATAAAAGAAAACTTGAGATTTCAGTTTTAGTCAATCTGTCATGAAAAACAATAGTAGGAAAGTGGGATTCAGTCCTATGCCTCTTCTTCTGAACACTTGCCTTGCACACTTTACCTTTGTCTTTTTTTTTTAAACTTAAGATAGTGTTGACTTCATAGTATTTAGGTTGTGTTCACTTATGCGCTGTTCAATTAGTCACTAGTTTCTACATTTTCCATTTTAGGTTGGAAGATGCTGGAGAAAACTCAGCATTAAGTGTCGATAATCACCACGATTTTTTCAAAATGTTTATTTGGATGATTTCTTTTTTCAAACAGTACCTGGGCTACTCAGCCAAAATAATGAACAGGGAATTTCAGTGGGAAATAAGATGGAACAAGAATTCGAAGATCCATAGAATCCAGTCTTCTGTGGATTTTGGAATTCTGTTGGGGATGAGTATTTCTAACCCTGGAAAGTCACCAAAAATCAAATGAAGATTGAATTTCCTATGAATAGGAAGAAGTTGAAGAAAACTTGGAGACTGTGCACAGTCCTCTTCTGGTGACACATTTGGACAGAAGCGTTTTGATAGATTAGGCTAGTTTCCCATCCTCTCTTCTTGCCAGTTTTATTTTAAGAAAGCTTACCCCTCCCTCTGTAGTGTGCTTGGTTATAAACAGAGGCTCTTACTTTTTAAGGCAAATATTCCTCAGGATTATTGACAGAAGAGGAAATTCTCTTTTAAATAGTTTTGTGATATGACTCCTGTCTTTTACTTGAAATAAACCTTTTGGGAAACAGAACAAAATGCATGGAAAATACCATGACAGGAAAAGAGCTCTGTAGTTTCACCTTAATTTTAGATCAATTCTCTTCATTTGACGTGTCATTAATGGTTTTTGCTGACTCATTTCCCTGCTATTACTATTACCCTGGAGGAAGACACCATGACAAGCCATGCACAGACTTCATAGCATTAGTAACTTCTTGAGTCTTTGCTGTGTTTTGTGTCAACAGAATCATTGTAGTACTCCTGCTGTGTGTTTGGGGTGGGGGTGACTTTGAAGAAAGTCTTGAAGTTTGGAGGGACAAAAATGCTCAGGGGGAAAAAAGACTTCCATTAAGGAAAATATTGCTGTCAAGCCAGAAATATTTTCAAAGTCTTCATTAGGCCTAGTAATCTCCAAGGATTAGGATGACAGGACCCATGGTTGGATGAGCTCTGTTGGATGTGCTAATACATAGAGGCTGAGCAGTTGGATAGGTGGAAAAAAGAAAGGCTGAGTGCAGCACCAAGCTCTGAAAAGAGGAGCTGTCTTTGCAGTGCTCATTCACGTCCAGTTATTTGCTGGTCAACGTAATGAGAACCCCTATTGTAGGTGAAGGTGAAGTACACTATTTCCCTTAGACTTCAAAGTCAGCTTTAGTATTTTGCTTATAAGTATTGATGAGTAAGGCTTAAAATCCAGATTTTGAAAACCTTTTTATCTAAAAATAAATTAATAATTATGAATATAGACAGTTTCAGGGTAATTTCAACTCTTACACACACACACAGACACACACACACACACAGGTTTTAGAAGCACTAAAATATTTTATTGACCTAAAGTTATGGCTATTTCATTTCATTATGAGTAGGATACTTTACAAATAAAATAAATCACTGGCAAATAAAATGCTGTACTTTAATGATCCGAAAACATGACATCTTTTTAAATAGGCACTAGGTATTTTGCAGAATTCACCAATTACTTGTCACACTATGGCTGGAAATTCTGACCATTCCATTCGTTTATTAACTCAGCCAGAAAACTGTTTTAAATATTTATGGGAATGCTTGTGGTCAAATTCCTTCATTGCTTTTTACATATAACTAAGTGGAGAGAATGCTTTTCAATCAGTTTCTGGTACAAGCACCTGCCTTGCGTTTTGCACCATAATTGTAACTATGACACTAATTGCCTTGCTTCTTTAATACCTCCTTGATCACACTGCCTGAATTTGGCTAGTCTTGGAATGGGGCATTTTGTGACCCCATGTTAAAATGAGGCGGTTATAGACCAGATGGCATTATTGGGTGGTCACACTTGGAAAAAAAAATGCCAAAAACTACATTGCAAATTTTGATTTTAGACAGGAAAATAGAGTTCATTTCAGTCTGCAGCACAGACTAATAAATATCATTTGCAACTCTAAGAATAGCTCATACTCAGTCTAAGGCAGGGTTTCTGAAAATGGAGTCTGGTACCCCAGCAAGTGTGCAAGATGATCTGTTGGAGAAAATATGACTAACTTTTATTTATATCTTTTTTTTTTTAAATTGAAGACTGAAATTAAGCTTTGCAAATATTTAACTTAAGTGGATTAATGGTAATTCTCACTTCATTCCACATGGCATGTGTCACTTACAATACTCAAAATCTGTTAAGGGGAGATTGTGGGTTCATGGTATAAATGGATTGGCCAAGTCTCTCTCAATCATTCTTTTGCTTTTGTCATTTACATAAGAGGGTGGGGTCCAGTCTTTTGGTTTCTCTGGGCCACATTGGAAGAAGAAGAATTGTCTTGGGCCACATATAAAATCCACTAACACTAATGATAGCTGATGAGCTAAAAAAAAAGCAGCAAAAAATTCTTCTAATATTTTAAGAAAGTTTAATGAATTTATGTTGGGCTGCATTCAAAGCTGTCTTGGGCTGTGTGCAGTCCACAGGCTGTGGGTTGGACAGGCTTAATTTAAATGTTTCAAGTCACTTACAGATGAACATAAGTAAACATGAGAGAGTTTAAAGATATATTATCTTATGTGTAAAAAATTTGACTAAAATAATGCTAATAAGTCAGGACAAAGTGAAGAGCAAGATAACATTGATATTTCTCTGAGTCATATTAGGAATTATTGATATGCTGACAATCTAATTGGCTTTGACAGAATTTCTGCCTCCACCTTCTCTCCCATGGAAGGATCAAGAAGACTATTAAAAATATATATATCCACTTACTCTTTTTCAAAGTGAACCTTGATCTAGAGGAATATTGTGCCTTGAAATGTTAGCTAATGATAGAGCAGAGTCATCACTGTTAGCAAGACATTTTAAATGTATCCTTTGATTTCTCCTGTGGTATTTAGTTACGTAATACCCAATTAATGCTTAATGAAAAACTTGACTGAATAGCTAGTGACCTAAAGATATTGAGGAAACATGTTCATCTTGCCTTAGATAAAATGGCTAAAAGAATCCTTGAAAAACAACGGGGTTGTCAGGCTAAAATACTTTGAATGTATTTCCTAGTAAAAATTCAGTCAACATTGCAAAAGAGCTGAATAAACCAGTTTTATAACAAATTATGTAGACTTAAAGGTTTGGAATATATAGTAAATGTAAGCACAGGTGTTTCTAATAGGTCTCGGCTTATAGTATTTGCTAAATTTTGTTTCAATGATGGAATATGAATGATTACCTACCCCCTTTCATTATGAGCCACTAAAGGAAAGAAAAACCAATGAGGTGATATTCTCAACAGTAAATGGCTCTTTTAATAAATATAATATTTCATCTAAAAACTATAAATTTAACCACAGAAAGAATTCTAGGCTAAGTTTATGGACATAGCATTGCAAAATTAACAGGCGAGCTATTTTAGCAAAAAGTTAAAGCTAAAGTGCACAAAATGCAACCGACATTGATATTCTAATACTTTAATTAAACCCAAATTAGTAAAAAACAGTGAATTCTTTACAATATTGGAAATGTGGTAGGGAGTGACCACAAACACCATTTGTTACCATACAGATGTTTGCTTTGCTGGTTATCTCATAGCAAGGAACTGGAACTTGAGATGACTTACTCATTTTTATTTTACAAAAGCAAATAACTCAAATTTACTGACATTTCAGTGACGACAAGCAGCTGTCACTATTATGTGACTGAGAATACATTTTTTTGAAGACTACATAATTTGTTTCTCCAAGATAAAGATGGCACTTCCACAATGAGTGAGCAAGTAACTGCTTTATAAAAGAAATAAGTTGAGTTATGCATAAATCATTCTAAAAATATTTTAGAAATGTGTATATTGTTATATGAATTTATTACTGAAAATGATATGTGTTTACTGCCTATTAAAACACTCATACACAAATTTTAAAAATCTGAACACAGTTTTCCAGTCTATTAAAATTTTTGGCAAATTTGCAGTAATTTCAAACATACATGTTCAAAATATAAAAATGCAGTTTCCCATTTGTTTCAAGACACCAAAGCATATATATTTACTTGTAAAATTTAAATAAAATCCTTTGGATTATTGTTAGGCTGGATACAAATTTTACATCATGATTTAGTAAAAAAGTTGCGTTTTGTCCACTTGGAGTCCCATGCCTTTTTCTACCTTGATGGCCTTTAAAATCAAGTATTAAAATAAGCTGCAGTTTGAATCAGTGTGCCACCATCTTTAGGCTAAGGTTTAAAAAGCAATTTCAAGCATATTCTGTAGTATATTTTATCCTAAAATAATTCATTATAACACTAATAGAGAAAGCAAAAAGTTTCTTTTGGCACTATTAAAAAATAAAATAAACTCAACATTAAGAACAGACATTTTTCACGTTTGCTATACACTATATATTAGTACAGTATAACATGAACATTATTTAGGGTAGTGGTTCTCAACTGGAGTGATTTTTTTTCTCCCTAGGGAACATTTAGCAGTGTCTGGAGAGGTTTTGGCTGTCACAGCTGGGGGAAGTACTGCTGACATATAATTCGTAGAATCAAGGGATGCTGTTAATGTCCTTAATGTACAGTTCCCCACGACAAGGAATTATCTTGCCCAAAACATCAATAGTGCCACGGTTGAGAAACCATGCTTTAGTGATTATATATATACATACATACATAGAGATATACCAATGTAATATGCATAGTGTGTACTTGACAGTATTTTACTTATGAATACCCATTTTAAAAAATTTGGAGGGCCGGATCTAGAGGCTCATGCCTGTAATCCCAGCACTTTTGGGGGGGCCGAGGCGAGCAGATCACTAGGGCAAGAGATCGAGACCATCCTGGCCAACTCAGTGAAACCCTATCTCCACTAAAAATACAAAAAAATTAACTGGGTGTGGTGGCATGCTCCTGTAGTCCCAGCTACTTGGGAGGCTGAGGCAGGAGAATCTCTTGAACCTGGAAGGTGGAGGTTGTAGTGAGCTAAGATAGCGTCACTGCACTCCAGCCTGGAGACACAGTGAGACTCTCAAAAAAAAAAAAAAAAAAAAAAAAAATTGGAGACCACTGTAAGTTATGACATTTGAGAAGCTAAATTACCAGTTGAGATTCTATTTGGGTCAAAGTGTAAAATGTCTGGTATTTGTTTTAATTCACCATAGTATTTTAATTTAAAATCTATCCTATGTTAACCTCTCTGAATTATAAACCATGGGTTGACAAGGACTTCTCAGTGAGCAGCGCCACATGTATATATCTTCAAGGCTGGCTTTTGTTGTTGTTACTGTTTTAAGGTACTAAACTGTTTAAAGCATCAGGATTTCATGAGGTTTTTTTTTATACTAGCACACAGGAAATTTAGTAATAAAATATGGACATGAAAATAAATTTCATGAAACTGATTCATATCTTATTACCTATCAGTTTCTAAGCAGAAAGGGACTACATTTAGAAACACAGCTAAAGATTTTTGTTATCAGGTTCCTTGCCTCTATTTTGGCCAGTCTTCCAAAGAACGTTATGAAGAGAAACAATTTTTATTATTTATCGGTCACTTTGTCTACTAGTAGAAACTACTAAATCTTACAAAAATGTGGCAAATTCACAACATCAGTTTTAAAGGCTGCTGTAATTAGTCTTCCTTTCTTTGGTGCAGGGTTTTTAGATTAAAAGTTCTTATGTAATTTTATCGAATTTCTGCTTCCTTTCCTCAATGTCCAGCATTTCAGATCAAATAGGAGTTGTGACCTTGGAACAGTGACTTAAGGACTACGTTATAAAATTAAAAAGATAATAGACATTTGAATTCAGGACCAGAAACACATACACACACGTGCACGTGCGTGCACGTGTGCGCACGCGTGCGCGCGCGCACACACACACACACACACACACACACACTCTTTCTCAGTAGTGTGCCCTAATAAATGCTAAGAACTAAGATAGTTTTACAAGCATTCCTTAAAACTTGAAAGAGCTGATGATGTGAGAAAAATCATAAAATGTTTCTGTCAGAAGAAAAATTAATGGCCCAACATCTATTATTTGCAGCTTAAGTTGTAAAAATATCGTTTATAATATGTGCATTAATTGTGTTCTACACATGACTATTTTATTTGAGGTTAAAGAACATGACGAATGTTAAAGAAGATGAAAATAAGATGAATGTTAAGAGTAACTTGATGACTTTGATTTTTCTAACTCAATTTCTTTTGAAGCCTGTAAATTCCAGAAAAACAAATACTTCCTTGAAAAAGAGATCTTTGGAGTGGGGGAATTGCTTATTCACAAAGGCAGCAGGAACTGCTAATAATTCCTATAGCTATTTGATATCTATTGATGTATGCATGTTCATCTGTGACTATCAACCTATGTATCCTTGTAAATCTTTAGATAGGTATCTATAAAGAGTCATCTCAAGATTTTTGAGACTCCATTCAATCTTAATTTCAAATATTGCATATAATTTTCGCTATAAAAAACTTAATTCCTTTGGAGAGTTAGTGCAAATAGAGAACAATAACGTCTTGATGAGACACAGACTTTGAGAAAGTAGCTAAGCTCACTCACTAGTGGATGACTTCTGCGCATCAGCCTCTCTGACAAAATTAAAGCTTACTTGAGATTATAGAATATGGTATTGCTTATAAACAGAAAAAAGCAAAACCCTGCAATATAGTTTGGACATTGTCTCTGCCCAAATCTCACGTTGAAATGTAACCTTCAATGTTGGAGGTGGGACCTGGTGGTGTTTGGGTCTTGGGGGTGGATTTCTCAAGAAGGGTTTAGCACCATCCTCTTGGTACTGTCCTTGCAATAGTGAATGAGTTCCTGTGAGATCTGGTACTTTAAAGGTGTGTGGTACCTCCCTCCTCTCTCTTGCTGCTGTGAGATGCCTGCTCCCCCGTCACCTTCTGCCACGATTACAAGCTTTCTGAGGTACTCCCAGAAGCAGGTGGTGGTGTTATGCTTCTTGTACAGCCTTCAGAACCAGGAGCCAATTAAACCTCTTTTCTTGCAAATGCCTGGTTTCAGGTATTTCTTTATAGCAATGCAAGGACAGCCCAACACACCCTGTAAATGTTAAATATGAGAATGGCAAGTCTAGGCAATAAGCTAAAATCAGTTATGGCCTTTGAAATATGAAGATTATGGTTGCTAAATTTTGGTGTTTGGTGTTGGGTAGGGAGTAGAGAGGAAACAGTTTTTTCTTCCTCTCAAGTTTCTGTGATTAAATGCTACCAGAGCAAGGATAGAAAAAAATTGCAAACTTGTTGCCCAACTGTCATTACTGATTTCTTGTTAATTTCTTGCTTTTATTTTTTTTTAAATAGTTGAAAAAACACAGCATATTCCAATAGTTCTTTTTTTCTTTTGCGCTTAGCAAATATGGGATTTCCCCACCAATTCTGGGTATCTTTAAATACTGTTTTAGGAAGAGCAGAATATTTATTAGAGGGGGAAGATCAAAGATTACAGCACTGAATGACATCAACAATGTCATTGTCAACAAGCTTTTATTGCAGGTATTGTCAACGTCAATCTCAAGAAACTTTTTTCTTTTTTTGTGAGACTGAATCTTGCTCTGTCGACAGGCGCCAAGCTGGAGTGCAGTGGTGCAATCTCGGCTCACTGCAACCTCTGCCTCCCGGGTTCAAGCAATTCTCCTGCCTCAGCCTCCCGAGTAGCTGGAACCACAGGCATGTGGCACCATGTCCAGCTAATTTTTGTACTTTTTAGTAGAGACAGGGTTTCACCATGTTGGCCAGGGTGGTTTCAATCTCTTGACCTCATGATCCGTCCACCTCAGCCTCCCAAAGGGCTGGGACTACAGGTGTGAGCCACCGCACCCGGCCAATGTCAACAAACTTTTATTGGAGACAAAAGTTTAGAAGAATAAATAAATTGAAGTATGCTAACCCTGCTAATAGGTGTAAAATTGTGTCATAAAGTAAACAGAAGCAATAAGATTTGCTCTTTTACAGAGGTCCATATTTCAAAAAGTTTTTTTTTTGAAAATTCATTTACTACATTAAATCAATTTTAGAAATACATTCTCTGACTTTTGGAGAGAAGAAAATAGATATTTTGCTATAGTAAGGCTGTTGATCCTCATTAGTTATTTGGTATCTGGTGGTTCAATAGAACCACTCTGGGTTTTCCATTTTTAGTGACTTAATAGTTAAATACATATTTTGACATCTTTTGAGGAAATTATTTTATGCCTTGATTTTCTTCAGAATGAAAACCACATAAAACATTTGCTGTTCTTGCTGCCTTTAAGTCTCTTTCTCTGGTCTGAAGTTCTTCTGCCTTAAATAGTCTGTTTGTGCTAAGTCATTTCATCTGTAGGAATAGAATGAAAATGTAAAATGAATAGAGTTTTAGTTTTCCCATTCTTCTAGACTTGCAATTACTAAACAAATAAATAATGAGGGTGAGGCAGGAGATTAGCAGGACCTGTTTTCAAGACCCTGATAATCTAAACAGGATGTAGCAAAGAAACTGCCTCAAACCAGCTAGGACTAGGAATTATAATGTATTTTCTTAAGACATGTCCGCCAGTGCCATGACAGTTTATAAATGCCATGTCAATGACCTGGAAGTTACCTTATGTGGTTCTGGGAGCTCCTTGCCCCATTTTCCAGAAAGTCTGTGAATAATTTTGCTTAGCACATAGTTAGGAGTGGGCATATATATAGCTAGCTGTCAATGCACGAGGACTACTCTGTGCTACTCTGCCTAGGGGTAGCCCTGCTCTGTCTATGGAGCACCATTTTGCTGTACACTGTTGCTCTAATAAACTTTCTTTCTTTCACTGTCAGCTTACTCTTGAATTCTTTCCTGAATAAAGCCAAGAGGCCTCCGAGGCTGAGCCCCAACTTTGGGGTTCACTTGCATCAGCTGGGTGTGGGGAAGAAAGAGAAGGAGAGCAATATTTTCTGCAGGGATCTTTAAGATAAATACTGTTGTCTTTCTAAAACTCCTTGCAAGCCACTATATCAGTTATCAACAAATACTAGTCATGTTTTCTCTGTCTATTAGATATAAAACACAATTAATACCTCACCAGAATTTGGTAGGAGAAAATGTCAATTTCTTTTTCCTAGTTCCTTATAATCAAAACTATTTGTTACAGCATGATAACTATGACGTAGAAATAAAACTAGGCTGGAATTGAAAATAAAACAAAAGAAACACCCAAATTGAGGAAGAGTAGTGGCTTTTTGGGGGAACAAACATGAAATCTTGGCTGGTAAAATAACGGTGTATTGTATATGTCAGCATTCTAGAATGAAATTTTAATACAACTTGTATGTTAAATGTTGGCAAACTAAAGCTGGTCAGCAACCAGGTTAAATAAATCATAACCAGGACTTTCACACCCCCTAGAAAAGGCATGCATGCAAGCAGTTGGTACTGTCCCTGACAGACAAAGAAAAAAGAGCATTGACCCCAGTTTCAACAAATTATGTTATAAATATGTAAACACTCCATAAAGAATTTCTATGTTAAGAAATTTATGTTATGATCTTAAGTTTATGTTACAAAGGCTTCTGATCCTCTTAAATAATGATATAAATGGCTTTTAAAAAATATCAGGATGACCATTCAGCCCTCATGCCCTTCCCAGCTTCCATGATTCCCTCCTGCCTATCTATATTCCTGATCTTCCCCTAGACTATGTTACAGTTAGGTCCCTGTGTACATACACATTTCAATAGCACACTGGTTTTGTTTGTTTGTTTGTTTGTTGCAACAATCAGGAATTACTCTTTGCTCTGTTAAACTGCAGGTTTCATGAGGGCAGGGGTTGTGTCTGCATTTATTGCTATGGCTCTAGTGCTTAGCCTAATGTTTGACATGGATGAATTCTTATTTGTTCATTTCTTAAGACCATATTTTCTGCTTGTTCTGGTTTATAAGGTTTTGGTATTGCTCTGGGCGCTCTTTATGCAACAGAAAATTGATTTAGAAAATGTTAACTATAATGTGTTAGTTTAATGTGAGAAAATAGAAGAAAAAAATGGAGTGAGTGACAAATGATTACCTGTTTTTAATGATGAACTGCACAGCATTATTAACAGTGCTTGTGTTTTCTCGAGTGGCTTTCTTAGAATAGTTCCAAGAACTTCAAACATGCCTTTAATCCTTGAGTTATCTCTGTGATATGTAAAGCATTTTCAATCTTACCATATAACAGCTTGGGAGGCAGACAGGTCTGAAAAGCAGAAGTCCAGAAATGTTTTCCATTTGACTAAATGTTTGTTTCCAGCTTAAGATTTTGCTCATTTTCATTTGATCTCATCCAAATTTGCTTTACTGAAGGGTACCATTTTAATTTTTTTATTTGTATCACTTTCCATTTGCTATTGTATAGATTTTTAAAGGACTTAATTTTCTTTTGGAATCATCACATTTCAAAAAGATGTTTAATGTAGTGTGAGTTTAAGATAGATGTTAATGGACTGCTCTTCTTTTGAGTCTCGCTCAAAGAGAAAGTGAAGGACTTAATAAAAATTCTGCATGATAATGTCAACACTAAATACACACAGATAAGGAAGTTACAAGCACTGAGAAAACAGAATTTTCTTCAGACATTATTTTTGGTTGCGTGTAGCTCAGGAAAGCAAAATGACTACACAGACCTGTACATACCCCCAGGCCCACTGTCTAGAGGTGCACTATTGTGCATTACACACATTTATGGACCCTATTCCCATCTGTAATATACTTTATATCTTCAAAATATATAGAAATAACAACAGAAGTTTCTATATTTCTACATACAGATTAAAGAAGAATGTCTTCTGAGTTAAGACTACAGATTTTCAGAGAATGCATAAATTATAGAATCTTGAGAAGATGTTAAAATGATTGGTTTTAGGCCGGGCGCGGTGGCTCAAGCCTGTAATCCCAGCACTTTGGGAGGCCGAGGCGGGTGGATCACTAGGTCAACAGATCGAGACCATCCTGGTCAACATGGTGAAACCCCGTCTCTACTAAAAATTACAAAAAATTAGCTGGGCACGGTGGCGCGTGCCTGTAATCCCAGCTACTCAGGAGGCTGAGGCAGGAGAATTGCCTGAACCCAGGAGGCGGAGGTTGCGGTGAGCCGAGATAGTGCCATTGCACTCCAGCCTGGGTAACAAGAGCGAAACTCCGTCTCAAAAAAAAAAAAAAAAAAAAAAAGATTGGTTTTAAATCCAAAGATTTACCATTTGAAAAGATTGCTATTAAAAATATTAATAAGTTGTTTTATTTGCATGAATTAAAAAAGAAACCTGAGAAGCTTCAATTTCCAGTGAAAGAACCCGTGTAGCAGATTCTTTTTCTCTCTTTGATACCTCTTTAGTAGTGCAGTCTCATCTTTTAGGTATCTTGGCCATGTCTGCAGTATAGCTCCAACTGTACAATGAAACTTCAAACCAATGCTTAGTGAGAATTTGGTGACTTGGTGCATTTCATAAGTGTTATGTTTACTTATTTATTTATTTATTTTGAGACAGGGTCTCACTCTGTTGCCCAGGTTGGAGTGCAGTGGCATGATCTTGGTTCATGCAACGGTTTAACTTGCAATCTCTGCCTTCCAGGTTAAAGCAATTCTCATCCCTCTTCCTCCTGGGTACTTGGGATTACAGGCACCCCTAACCATGCATGGCTAATGTTTGTATGTTAGTAGAAATGGCGTTTCTCCATGCTGGCCAGGCTGCTCTGAAACTCCTGACCTCAAGGGATCTGCTTACTTCAGCCTCCCAAAGTGTTGGGATTACAAGTATGAGCCACTGTGCCTGCTGTTTATTTGTTTTCTTTTTTCTTTTTTTTTTTTTTTGAGATGGAGTTTCGCTCTTTTTACTGGAAAGAGTGCAATGGTGCTATCTCGGCTCACCGCAACCTCCGCCTCCTGGGTTCAGGCAATTCTCCCGCCTCAGCCTCCTGAGTAGCTGGGATTACCGGCATGCACCACCATACCCAGCTAATTTTTGTATTTTTAGTAGCGACGGTGTTTCACCATGTTGACCAGGATGGTCTCGATCTCTTGACCTTGTGATCCACCCACCTTGGCCTCCCAAAGTGCTGGGATTACAGGCCTGAGCCACTGCACCCGGCCTATTTGTTTTCTTTATAAAAAGATATGTTCTAAATATAATATGCTTGGGCCTCTTTTTCTCTTCTAAGTGAAGATCTCAAGTGTGGTAAAGAACAAATTGCAAGTTGATGCAGAAAGTGAGCAGACATTATGAATGGCTAGGATATCCTCAGAATGGTTAAACAGAGTGGAAAACATGCAAAGGAGGTTTCTTCTAACCAGGCAGGGCATCCCTAAATGACCAATTTAGTGTCCTTAGGGAAGTTTCCCTTTTAGCTTTCAGGACGCTGTTGGCAGGCTTTAGAGCCTGCTCTCCTATTTGCTTTGTCTGGGGGACCTTGCAGCTTTGCACTGTGAAACATGGCCTGTGGCCTCTGTTGATTGTTGGTGCCTCAGGCTTTCTTATCATTGGTGGAACTGGCATATTGTCACATCTTACTGAAAAACCCCACCTCCCTCCAGACCCCCCTCTTTTTTTTGTGGCTGCCAGAGGAGACTGGAGTGCACCAGTTCTGCCAGACACACACCCGCCCAGGCAATGTTTTCTGTTTCAGGGACATGAAAAAGCCTCTTTCGGGAAGAGGTGTAAGGAGACAAACCAATTGCCACTTCCGAGTTGGAAAAATTGGATCCCTTTGTGCTCTTATCTTCATCCACTTCCAACTTTACTGATTTTACTGCTGCTGGGTCCCAGGGGAGGTAAAAAGGAAAGGAGAAAATGATCGATTTGAGTGCTGGTAGCAATGAATGAGTGGCAATAGATGTGTGTTATGACAGGGCTGTAATAAGGGCCTTGGTCCATGATTGGCAGTAAGATATTGTCATAGTCAGCACCACAAATGCACACAGGGCCTATTTAACCACGTAACCATCCAGGAAGACACACACAATATACACCTCTTATTAATTCATTTGTTCATTTATTCATTCAGCAGATAATTATAGAGGCTACTATGTACTGGACAGTGTTCTAAGCATAAGATTATAGCCACGAACAAATAACCCCAAATCCCTGCCCTCTGGAAGCTTGCATGCTAATGGAGCCTACTTTCTACATCCTTATGAGGCTGGGTGCAATGGCTCATGCCTATAATTTCAGCACTTTGGGAAGTCCAAGACAGGCAGATCACTTGTGGTCAGGAGTTTGAGACCAGCCTGGCCAACATGGTGAAACCCTATCTATACTAAAAATACAAAAATTAGCTGGGCAAGGTGGTGCACATCTATAGTCACAGCTACTCAGGAGGTTGAGGCAGGAGTATTACTTGAGCCCAGGAGGTAGAGGTTTTAGCCTAGCATGCCACTGCAATCCAGCTTAAGCAACAGAGTAGGACCCTATCTCAAAAAACAAAAACAAGGTTGGGCACAGAGGCTCATGCCTGTAATCCTAGAACTTTGAGAGGCCAAGGTGGGTGGATCACAAGGTCAGGAGTTCAAGACCAGCCTGGCCAAAGTGAAATCCCTTCTCTACTAAAAATACAAAATTAGCTGGGAGTGGTGGTGCATGCCTGTAATCCTAGCTACTCAGAGGGCTGAGGCAGGAGAATCGCTTGAACCCAGGAGGCAGAGTTTGCAGTGAGCCACTGAAGTCCAGCCTAGATGACCGAGTGAGACTCTGTCACAAAAACAAAAACAAAAAACAAAACACTTCGAAGAGTTAGAAAGTGCGTCCTACTTGGGAAGCAAGCTTTAAAAAATATTACTTAAAAAATCTGGAGACAACAGATGCTGGAGAGGATGTGGAGAAAAAGGAACACTTTTACACTGTTGGTGGGAGTGTAAATTAGTTCAACCACTGTGGAAGTCAGTGTGGTGATTCCTCAAGGCCTTAGAAATAGAAATTCCATTTGACCCAGCAATCCCATTACTGGGTATATATCCAAAAGGCTATAAGTCGTTCTACTATAAGGACACATGTACACGAATGTTCATTGCAGCACTGTTTACAATAGCAAAGACCTGGAATCAACCCAAATGCCCATTGATGATAGACTGGATTGGAAAAATGTGGCACATATACACCATGGAATATTATGCAGCAATCAGAAATGATGAGTTTGTGTCATTTGTAGGGACATGGATGAATCTGGAGAACATCATCCTCAGCAAACTGACACAAGAACAGAAAACGAAACACCGCATATTCTCACTCATAGGTGGGTGATGAAAAATGAGACTGCATGGACACAGAGAGAAGAGTACTAAACACTGGGGTCTATTGGGGGGAAATGGGGAGGGCCAGTGGGAGGGGGAGGTGGGGAGGGATAGCCTGGGGAGAAATGCCAAATGTGGGTGAAGGGGAGAAAGAAAGCAAAGCACACTGCCATGTGTGTACCTATGCAACTGTCTTGCATGTTCTGCACATGTACCCCCAAACCTAAAATGCAATAAAAAATTAAAAAAAAAATATTACTATTGTAGGACTATTGAAGATGAGACACATTCAGGGAAAATTCATAATCCATATTTTCTTAGGATTCTGTGTTGATTATGAAATCTTAATAACCCAGTCTTAGAAACCACATATATTTTCCACTTGTAGTCTTTCACATTAGACAGGACTAGAACACAAGCCCATGGAGTAATCTACTAGTTTTTCTGTCTACCTCTGCAAAGGGCTACAACTCATCTCCCCAGTGTGCCCCCCAGCATGGCTGCTCAAACCATTTAGTACCTACCAGGTCCTTCTCGTCCACTTATGGTGTTTCCCTAGAAAAGTTTCCTAGGTGATTTTTCTAACTCCACTCTCTCCCGATTCCTGTCTTTTCTACATATTGCATTAAAGTAAACCTTTCGAAAAGACTGTGTCCTCTTATTGCTGTCCTGTTCTAGATGGTCTCCTCAGACCCAGCTTCCTCTCCCTGCCAGCCTTCCACACTCTGGCACCAATTCAGTTTAGCAACAAACACAGCAATAAATTCAACAATAATACTATGGATTTTCAGTTATGAATTATTTTACACCAACGGTCTCGTTTGATACTTACTCAAAACTTAGAGTCGAAGTTGTTACTATTATTCTCATTTGACAGAGGACTATACTGAAGTTGAGAAAACTCATGTGATTTGTTCAAAGCCACCCAGCTATCAAGTAGAAGAATCAGGCTTAGAGTTCAGTTCTTCTGAGTTCCAGACCACCTCTCTAATTATTGCTTCCTTTCATGACACACGCTGCTCCAAGGGGCTCAAGTCCATTTCTAGTTCCACCCTTTGCCACACTCCTCCCCAGCTGGCAGTGCTCTTATTGCCCTCCCATCCCTCTACCTGGCAGAATGTGCTAAGACTCCATGGTCTGCCTGAGTGTCCTTTCCTTCATGTCAATTCTCCTAAGAGCCCCAGCATGCAATCACTGCTCCTTCTCTGAAATACTTCCCTTAGCAATGAGTTAGCCCAGGGTTTCTCAACCTTAGGACTAGACACAGTTGGTGTCAATTGTTGTGGGGGTCTGTCCTGTGCATTATAGGATATTTATTGGTGTCCCTGGGTTTCTATCCAATAGATGATAGTGGTACCCCTGGTTGTGATAATCAAAAATATCTCCAGACATTGCCAAATGTTCCATGGGAAACCAAACCAAATTCTTCTGTTTGTGTTGTTTTTTAAGACAGAGTTTCACTATTGTTGCCCAGGCTGGAGTGCAGTGGTGCCATCTCAGCTCTCCGTAACCTCTGCCTCCCAGGTTTAAGCTATTCTCCTGCCTCAGCCTCCCGAGTAGCTGGGATTACAAGCATATGCCACCAAGCCTGGATGATTTTGTATTAGTAGAGACAGGATTTCTCCATGTTGATCAGACTGGTCTTCAACTCTTGACCTCAGGTGATCCACCTGCCTTGGCCTCCCAAAGTGCCGGGATTATAGGCGTGAGCCACCATGCCTGGCTACTCCTGGTTTTGAACCATTGGCTTAATCTGTAATTGTTCTCTAATTGGGTGATATGGGACAGGTGTGCCTCTCCTGAGACTTGAAAGTGTAGGCACAATATTTGCATTTTGCTTGTGTCCTTGAATGTGTTCTGTGCACAATATAAAACTGAACATAGGTTGTGAATCCAAGTCCCACTTCCTAGTTTCAAATTGGAGCCACCAATCACATCTTAATATTCCTGGTTGATTTTGAGTTCTATAGTACAGTAATTAAAAACCTAAGTTCTAAGCTGGGCGTGGTGGTTCACACCTGTGATCCCAGCACTTTGGGAGCCTGAGGTGGGCAGATAACGAGGTCAGGAGTTTGAGACTAGCCTGGCCAATATGATGAAACCCCATCTCTGCTAAAAATACAAAAATTAGCGGGTGTGGTGGCGTGCACCTGTAGTCCCAGCTACTTGGGAGGCTGAGGCAGGAGAATTGGGAGGTGGAGGTTGCAGTGAGCTGACATTGTGCACTGCACTCCAGCCTAGGAAACAGAGCAAGACTCCATCTCAAAAAAAAAAAAAAAAAAATCGAAAAAAAAAAAAAACCTAAGTTCTAAAATGTGAAGAAGTGGGTATAAATATCATTTCTCTTACTTGCTGTTTGTACAGCTGCGAGACACTTTCTTGCTTTTCTGTTTGTCTATGCCAATGTTATCCGATAGAAATATAATATAAGACATATTAAAAGAGTGAAAAAGAACCAAATCAATTTTATGACTTTATTACTTAATTTAATATATAAAATACTGTCATTACACAATGTAATTAATATAAAAAATTCATTAAGGATGTATGTGGCATTCTTCTTTTTGTACTAACATGTGTATTTCCTTTTACAGCGTGTTTCACTAGAATTCTCTATATTTGAACCACTCAGTAGCCACGTATGTCTAGTGATTATTAAATGCACTGGCTTCCCCGATTAGGTTGTGAACATTTTGAGGGCAGAGACTATGTCATATTCATTTATAATTAAAAACAACTAAAAATTGTCCTTTAAATAAAATACTCTGATTTTATTGGGTCAAGAGCTTGGGTCCTCTTTGACTCCTTTTTTTTCACTGTGGGAACCATTTTAGCCCTCACATAAAATACCAGAAACATGAATGAAGTAAGTCCCCTCCCTTGAATGGAGTCCTCTCTACTTGTAGAAATAAGACATAGATGTATCAAACAACAGCAAAAAGCAATATATGGTAATGATTAACTATGTTGTTATGTATAATTATAAAAATATTTGTAAAATATATATTTATGTATACGTATATTATAAATATAAAATATAAATGTCTATTTATAAAATATAAATGTATGTATAAAACCAGGAGAATTGCTGAGTCATATGATAATTGTATAATTAACATATTAAGAAACTGCCAAACTATTTTAAATATATATATTTTTATTTATATATCTAAATTCTGATTCAAATTCAAATTTCCTTTATGCTCAGAAGCCTAGTTTCTTCAAAAAAGACTTCACTAATCCTTTGGAGATATTTTTGCAGATATCTATATATCTATATCTATATTATCTATATCTGTATCTCCAAGAATTTTATTGCAAAAATTAAAAATGGGTTCTAAAACAAAAACTTGTACAACAATGTTCATTGCAGCACCATTTATAGCAGCCAAAAGTGGAAGCATTCCAAATAGTTACTAATGGGTGGATAAATAAGTTAAATGCAGTAGGTCCACACAGTGAACTATTATTCAGCTATAAAAAGGAATGAAGTACTGATACATGCCACAAACATGGATGAATTGGGACTGTTACAGCAATTAAAAAAATTAGACACAGAAGGCTGCATATATTTATATAAACTATCCAGAATAGGTAAATCCATAGACACAGAAAACAGATAAGTGGTTTCTAGGGCCTGCAAAGAGGAGGCGATTGGGGTGACTGCTTAATGGGTACAGGGGTTTCCTTTTGGGGTGATTAAACATGTTCTGGAAGTAGATAATGGTGATGGGTGCACAACACTGTAAATATACAAAATGCCCTTGAATTGTACATTTTAAAATTATTAAAATGGTGAATTTTATGCTATGTATATTTTACCACAATAAATAACATTGAATGATTTTGGTGTCTCGGAAGGCATGGTATCAGTGAAGGCTTTTTTGAAGAAGGTGGGCTTCTGAGAACAAAGTAGATTTGATTTTGAATCAGACTTTGAATCTGTAGCAAAGGATAAGGGTGCCCCATTAAAAGACAGAAACCTGAGCAGCCTGGTTCATGTCACAAGTGGGGATCAGGTGGAATTGTTGAGGAATGTCTCTTTATACTCTGCAAATTTGATCCAAGCAAGAATTAGTTTAAAGCACAAAATATATTTTCAGCAGAGACTGAATGTTCTCCAACTCTTGAATATAACTATCAATAAGTGAGCACATCAAATAGAACATTATATCCTTGATATTGTTATTAGATACTATCTTCCTATGCCTTTAAGAAAAGAGGCAGATACACCTTGGGATTACTCATGGCTCAATTTTCATAGCATTTGTTTTAAAAATACCATGTTACTGTGGAGGAGAGAAGTGGGGACACACACAGCATATTTATGTTTTCCATAGCCAAAGTAAATCCATACATCTTTACTTAAGGAACTAAATATGTATAATTTGCCTTGGATTTATTACAGCATCAAAGTGCAACTTGAAATGCACAGTTTGAAATTGTCAGCTGTTCACGTGGAGATCAATAGCCTTGGGAAGGGTGACTGTGGGCCTTGCCAGACAAGCTCAGTGACAGCCTCTCAGCCAGTCGAGAATGTCAGTAAGACAGGCTGTGGGCTGAGCGACAAAATGCAGCCCCACGTACGAGGGTGTTAGGTGATTGCATCTTAATCTTAATGGTGTAGACTTCTGCCAAGGCAGTTCAAGCAGTTACTCCAGGGCACAATAAAATAAAGGGAATTTCTTTTGAGTCTTCACTTTTTAGCCACTTTCAACTCATTGGGTTTTCTCAGCCTTAAACTAAGGTCATCAGCTTTCACAAGTTTTCCCTACAAACTAAACAAATTCTGAGTGTCACCACCTCATTCTCTCCATGCGGGATGCTAGACACCACTGACTTGGATGACTGTGCAGACAGCACACCAAAAAGAGACATTTAGATTGGGAAGAGGTCTAAATGTCTTTTGAGGTTAAAGACAACCAGCTGACAACCGGGATCCCTGCTCAGGGACCTATTTTACTCAACAAGAAAAATTGCTTCCAAAGGTCTTTTTTTTTTG